GGACTGTCCTCACATCTCCCACCATGCTTTTACCCTCAGCTCCTGTGGACCAGGCTCCGCCCCTTCTGTGGCACCTTTCCACAGCACAGGTCGCTGGGAACTCCTTTCCCAGCAAGTCCACCTCATCATCCATGCACCAGCTCAAAGCTCTCCTCCCGGACACTCTCTTCTCTTCTCTTCCTAACTCCGCTCCCTTCTTCCCAGGGCCTTTCCATGGTAGATGGACCACACCTCTCGGCATTTTCACATATTTTATTAGCTTCACCGTTCATATGTCTTATGCCCCCAATTGTTTCCTAAAAACTGTAGTGCGGGGTTATCATTTACTTCTTGGGTACCATTCCGTGGTCGATAGCAGAGGATCTGATAACTCGTTAAAAAGAAAAGAAAACGCCCCCAATAAAATGATTTATGAATAAAAAAGGAAAAGAAAATACAACGCACTGTTCCTTGTTCGCACGAGAGCATCTTCCCCCAGCCCTCCCTGTCTTCACAGAGGAAACAGCGTTTACCTTTCTTTTAAGAAGTCTTCGAACTCTTTGCAGTTCTTGCGGCCATTGTTCAGATGCTGGATGATGTTGTCATAACCGATGGTGCTGAGGATGTCCGAGCTCTGCGTGAGAAGACAACAGGGCGTCAACAAGGAAGGAAGTGGGCGGCAGCCCTGAGCCCTAAGGAGTGAAGGGAGGCAGCCCTAGGCAGGGCAGCCATCAGGGGAAGTTGGGGAAATGCTTTACCTCCTGACCAAGGGGGGTGCGGAGGAGAGTGCAGAGGGTGCTGACCACACCCGATGACACTGTCAGAAAGGTGGCACCCGGATGATTGTCTATAAACATGTGCAGTGTGTGAGCAGAAATTTACTATTTACTGTTTTCTATTAAAATATCTCTGTAGTTCATTAAAACAACCCAAACCATCCAGCTTATATACATCAGTATACTCAAAACTCTATGCTTCTTTCACCTTCTGGCACACTCCAGCCAGAGCTGTCTTCAGTTACCTCACGGGTTCTCTGTGAGTTGGAGCTGACGCCAGGGCTCTTAAGGACAACAACAAGGTATAATGGTAGATAATGCTCATGGAAATCGTTGTTGTTAGGTGTCCTCTAGTGGGTTCCTACTTAAAGCATCCCTACTCGTAAGAATGCCCAAGACGACAGAAGAGCCCCGCACAGTCAT